AACTCTGTGTGATAACATTTTAAACTTCTCTAATAAACAAAATATTTTAGCCGATCGAGTTAAAAAGGCAGCTATGAGGATTTTGGCATAGGCGTAAATGAAAAAAAAAAATCCATATGATTTCTCTTCTAAAAAGACGAATAGTGTAGTTCTTTGGGTGAGAAATGGGTACACCTAATCGGCAAGGAATAACAATTGGGAGAGCTCATGGTACAATTTTCTGTGGGTGAGTTAGACGAAAACGGTAGATTCTTGATCAAATTGCTATCAAAGGACGGAATTTGGAACACAGGAAATAACACCGCTATCTGCCTTCTTCTATCACCATATGCAATACGATCCGAAAATATTCAACAAAAATTTTCCCACTTGAATCGAATTTTGATTACATGGAACCTCGGCGAATTCACAACTGCCGAACACTAGACAGTAGAGCCTTAAAAGTTTGAATTTGTCGAACGAGCCGAGCTTTCAAAATCAATTCCCGACAAAAATATTGTAATTTTATTGCAACACTTAACGCTTTCCACGAACGGGTTTTTCTCGTATCAAAAATCAGAGTTTGGCTGTTCCATGTCTGTTCTTTGTCAGGTGGTGAGGAAAATACTATCTCGTTCATGAACGATCCACTGTCGCCGAAAAAGAAGCAGTTTTTCGAGACAATAATTTTCTACACAATGTAAACGACTAAGTTTTTCGCATGCTGAAGTAAGATTATTTAACGGAGGTGAAGAAAACAATCCTTCTAAAACTGGCTGCTTCTTAATTCCATTGTAACTTCTCCGTTCTCGACATAAATACAATTTAGCTCTTAAACAAGACAAGTTTTTGAATTAAAGTCATGAACGTCGGTCATTCTGAAGAAAAAAGTGGATGGTCTATGAGATATGCTTTCATCTTTTTGTTAGAAACGCACTCGATGAAATAGAGTTCACGACATAAGACCCTCGCGGTAACCAAGAAGTGAAAGCTTTTTAATCTTTTAACAAACTTCCGCTAGTTATTTTAAGTTAATTTTTTACATTAGAAAACCTATTGGTCGTTTTCCAAAACTAATCATTTTAATTTAATGGGAGAGCATCAACTTTTCTGTTGACTGATACTCGTTATTCAAGTTAAATATCTTGTAATTAGAATAAAAAATTTTCAACTCACGTTTTCCTTCAGAAACAGTAGCTCCGTAAAATAAGAGAGTAGAAAACAGTAACACAAGCATTTTTTCGCTTTGATAAATTCTTCCGTTATAGAATCATCTAAAGTTTCATGATATGTTATCTTGATTAGGCCGATAATAAACTTCAAACCATCCAAACCTTGATTTTATTCCCAGCTGGGTAAGCCATGTCAATCATGTTGTCATGGCCACGAATTCTTGCTTTTACAGCTGTGAAAAACAAATCTTATTTCCGTACTCAACGTCACGCACTATGGCCTAATTATTCCCACAAATAATGAATTCGCTTTATTACTGTATGAGTAACCCAGGCTGTGTTTGACCTCCTTGCAGCTCAGTAAACAGCACTGCGAACATTTTTTTTCGATTTGGAAATTTTTCCTTATAATAAAATATAACTGAGTGATTCGTATTCGTTTGAAACTGAAATATGAACAATGTTCCTTTTCTTCGTTACTTCTTCTTTATTGCGATTATCATAGGAGGCCTGATAAGCAGCAAACGATTTTGAGCTCGTACAGTATGCAAAAAAATATATTTTTGATATCTCTTTCCTGGAGTTGACTCGCTAATTAGCACTTAATAAAAATCAACCTTAGCGTCCTTCGCATTTCTCTTTCTTCTCTGCACAACTCTGTTTCAAGGCTCTCTTGCCAAATACTTCAACTTATCTCATATAAATTCGACGGAGCTCTCACTTAAGATGCAAGGAACGAATTTTAAATTCTACTTCGTGCATGAAAGCTGTCCACCAATCCAGGGAGTGTTTCAAAAAAGTGATTTGTCAAACCACCGGCGTCACAACAAAACGGTGTGTCAGGTTCTGCGAGAAAATTACCGAGTGCACCAAGGCCTTTGGTAAATAATGTAAATAAACCTAATTATACATGAACTTTACTAGACAAGAACTTAAAAAGCTGTCTGAAAGCCCTGATTTGATAGACATCATAGTATAATTTGTTAAATGCATGTTCTTATGAGCGAAAAAGCTTTTCAGTTCGTAGGCTTATCTGCCATTCCCGACAACATATGTTTCTCTGTTTATAACAATAAGAATGAAAAAGTTTGTTGACAGAGAGTTTTTGTAATAAACTTGAATCATTTAGTAATTTCTTTCAGATTAACGATAAATTAGCGAAGGGACAAATTTATATATAACCATTTTCAACCGATCATTGATAGCTATACTAATATGACCTCAAAGAAACATAGCTAAGGAATCTTTACGATGTTATAATTTAAATGACAGAGACAGTGTTTTTTTCCGACGGTTTTAATATGATTCGTTAAGAAAACTTATGAGTCACCCCTGTCAAAAGCTGAGCGAGGTTTAAACTTCGCGAGTATCAGCTCTACGTTCGCCACTGATTTACATGCAAAGATTATTTGGATCTGCCAGCACAAGTAAATTCTCTCTTCAGATTTCGACACATCCCATACGTACATTTCTGAATTTCGTATTGGATCAAGACAGGTTGAAGAGGCTCGGTGCCTTAAAAACTTCTTGCTTGATGGAAAAAGACAACCACGATTTTTAAATTTGGAAGGCTGTGCGCGATGACCTAAGCTAGGCTAGGAAAAGCCGTGCGACCCTGCAAGAAGTGAATTAAAAGAGGTGATGAATAAATGTTAGGTAGAATACTTTTCGACTGAGTTATGTCGAGCATTACTGGAAAAATATTTGGCTCCCAAAATTTTTAAAACGTAGGGACCCAGCGTGGCGACACCTGAACTTCATGAGCTCGAACCAATTCTTTCGCTGTCCGGTTTTGCATGTTGTCGTAGTACTTGGTTAGGTCGTTTGCTCACGTGGTATGAAGTAGGATACTCAGGATATTGTTGGTGGATCGAGAGGGTGGGAGGGTCTAGTGATCTGGAAACCTACCAAACCATCAGAAGTAAATGTGAAGTATTTGATTTTTATTTGCCGTTCAATATTTCTTTGCGTATTTAGGCTGTAATTAATGTAACATAAAATTCATTGCCTTTTGGATCAAAGTTTAAACCCCCTTCCCCCCCCCCCCCCCCAAGACACACCCACCCACCTGTTATCAATGGAAACGGTGGAAAACGTGGAATGTAGAGTTTGGAGTGCGGACAAACGACGAGTGGATAAAGGAAGTTAGGAATGTGAGAGGCGTGGAAAATAAATGTGTGGAGTTTGGGATGACAGAGAGCGAATTGACAAAGAGCGTAGACAATATGGAAAAGGGTATATACAGGAGCCCATGGGCTACTGGTATATACATATCTGCAGAGAGTAAAAAATGTGGAGTGAGGAAAGATAAGAGAGGAAAATGAGCCGTGTAGAGTATGAGGAGTTGAGGAAGTGTAAAGTAGAAAATGGGCCCTGCGGTGTGAAAAATTGAGATTGGATAAAAAAGAAAGAGGTAGTAAAGAAATGAGGAATGTTGAAGATTTTGAGTGTGGACAGTTAGGAAAGAAGGAAGTAAAGGATGTGGGTGGTACAGGGCGTGTAATGTGAGGAACAAGCAATAACAGTGGTGAGGAACACGAGGCTTGTGGAGATTGTGGAGTCTGGAAAACGTGCGGTGTGGATAACTATCGTGGATAACCACCGAAAGCGGCCTTGAGTGGGTCTATCACACCGATATTTACACGTGGTTTTTCATTTCTTTCTTTTTTCTCAGGTTATTGCAGTTAAGGGCCGAACATAAGCCGGACTTTCTCTTGGAAAACTTAATGACGCTACCGCTACGGTGCTCCTTGCCAGCGGAGCACTTTACTTCTTGTTCCAGACTACTATTCGTCGTCACACGGCCAAAATCGGCCTGCATTCAAAGTGCACGTTCATCTTCAGACTTGTTGTGTCCTGCGTGATGACAATCACTTGCGCTAAATTTACTCGTTAATATTTATTGAGTAAATATAAGTAGGTTTAATTCAGCTTTGGAATTTTTCCATCTAGTCTATAACGGGAAGTCGTTAGATGAGCTGATATAAGGTGATATTTCACCGTGATAATATTTGTTATTGCACAGCTATGCAAGCGAAGATCTGTCTCCACGGCAACAAGACTGGCATGGCTTTCTTAGCCAGGGCAAGCAGTTATAACAGCCAGGTTAGGAACACTTCAAATTTATTTTCGACCCAATCGAGATCGCAACCGGTCATCGTCACTGTACGAGAGGGTAAAATGCGCGTTTTGTTGCTTTCGCTGTTCTTAATTTGCGGAGCTTTTCCTTCCCATGGAAGACGTGAGTGGATAGAATAGTTTTTAAAATTCCTATTTGAAGATATTTAACTAGCAGGAGTTTGTTAACGCAAGAAATGATGCTACCTGTTAGACTGGAGTCGCTTTTTAAGAAAGAAGCTGGAAATGGAAACATTAAGATTTGAAAAAGTTACATGTGTTACAATCAGGATAGGAAAAAAAAATTATATATTTTTGCTGTTAGAGCGTTCGACTGCTGGTGAATTACAAATTGTAATATTCCTCACATCTTTTAACTTGTCTGGCGCGTCATAGAATAAACAAAGTCATCGGGCTAGATTGTAGGCTCTAGATAACTTTAATTCCTCGATTTAACGGTATTTCTAGTGCCAGGAAAGGCCTGTCTAAAACGGAGGTGTTATAACGAAATAAGGAAACCGGTTTAAAAATTATTTCTTTACTTTGGTTCTGTTATGTTGTTGTCAAATTTTAGTTCTGTCTCAAATCAGTCTCAATGATTTATGTTTGTAGATTCGTTTTACGACATTTTTCTTAAAAGTAAACTGTCCTAAGGTTTAACTTAGTTCGTTAAAATCTTTTTGATTCAGTGCTCAACCATCTTATTCACCGGCCATGGATTATATTTTTCAGTTTACTGCTTGATAGTTAAAACCGCGCGCGCATCATTTGCCGGCACTGATGCTGTAATCCGAATCCGAATTCAAGGCACCCGAGGCGACTTGAAAGAAAGAGTAATAAACGGGAGATTTGAACAAGATGGGTAATTATGATGAAAATGATTATAATGTCGATGATGATATTACCACAGATGATATCGATGATGATCACAACGATTATAATGACAATGATGATGGCGCTGTCCGTCGCGATTTAAGATGTTGGTGATGACCACGATCGATCATACACATGCTACAGAATAAGCTGTGCTTCCATAATCAAATAAACAAAAATTATTCTCGCATTTGACCCGAAGATGATCTTTCAGGAAAAAAATTATCCTCGCAAGGGAGCTGCATATAGGAAAACTTAGAAATGCACTTGTCACGAGTTTGCACCTTACTGCAGAATGCGTCAATCAATTTGAAGCTTCAAGATCCCCCTCTCGGGCATTTGAACTTCTGACGATTGATTTGTTCAACTTCCGCCCTCCTCCTCCCAGGGTAAAAATTGTGTTCTAATGCCCCACCCAATTTTTAGTAAAAGGAAAAATCAGCGACCGGGACTTTCTACACATTAACTGAGCTCAAGAGATGATTGTGTTATGTTGCACTTTACCGCTTAATCGATAACCCGTGCGGTTATTTACCTGAATCAACCATCGCAAGATACTCAGTTATTCCTCGCCCTTGAACATACTGTTATTTTAATTCATGTTTATAGAACTGACCTCATTGATATCTACGACTATGACATTGGATACATCAAGGGAGCGGATATTAAGCGGAATAATGCTGGGTTTTTGCCGGACTGGAAACTTGACAAGGTAAGTAGCAGTTAAGATTGTGGAGATATGGTTTATATTTTGAAAATTACCTTCAAAACTTAGAAAAAAAGGCCGTGAAGTGATAAGCAACGAATGTGTAAAATACGAGCTAAAATGATAAATTTTGCTTTGTCTAACGTTGGAAAAAAAACTGTGTAAACACCAAAGAATGGACAGGGAAGCAGAACAATACAATAAAGTCGACTAAACTTTGCTGTTCCGTTGATCGCAATAGCACGCACAATCATTCTTCGCTCCATTTTTCATGGGCGAGACAGAACATTCCTTTGAATGATGAAGACAAACTTTCGAAAAGAATTCCTCTTTATTATTAACATGGGCAGAGTGAGCTAAGGCTAGAATGTCTTATCGGAAAAAAACCCCTTAAATGGGCCTCTTTGTTTTCCTGGAAGTCCTGTCATCAGTAATTACACTGCAATTCTTCTTTAAAAACGTAATCGATTGCGCAGATGAAAAATCATCGTTCTCGGATACAATTTAAAGAAGTTGCAAAAAGAAGATCCGTCCATGGTTTACAATCACATCTATTTTGTTTATTATCTTTTTTTTTTCATTTCACATAATGTGTTTCTCGTTTTTCCTGTTTGTAAACATCCTCCTGGAGTAGCTTACCATAAAGTCTCTTCCATCTTAGATCACCATCAAAGTCGCCGGTGCAGAGGACAGCATCTTCAATTATTACGACTGGGTCCCCCAAAACAAGTGGGTTGAATTACCCCGTAAGTAACAGCAGTCACTGATTTCAATGACTTTACATCATTCTGAGTTGTGACGCACGCCTATGTCCACACTCACTTTGACTTACTGCTCAACATGCTAGAAAAAGGGTTGAAAACCAGTTGCAGAGTTGTTTACACCTCTCAATTAATTTTTCTGTGCAGTTTCCAATTCCTGTTTGGTAGATAAAGATCTTCCTGCAGGGACGCTCGAAGAAGAAACTATTGAATTAGTTTCCACCTTAAAGCTCCTAGAAAAAATATATGGCGAAATCAGCTTGCCCACTTGACTATAACGATGATTGTTTACGGATTTTTGTTTTCAATCTTATGAGGATTAAAGTTTCAAAACATGTGTAATGTCAGTCAAAGAACTCGGAAGGATTTTTTAGTTCATTGTGTCGATTCATTTCACTTTTTTTTCTGACGAAACTGGATATTTTTCTCACTAAAATTAATTATACTTTGTGTTTTAGTCTCTTGCCCGAATGGTTCTCATAAAAATACCAAAGGCTTCTGCGATGGTGAGTGCCTTTCGATGAAATAAACGTGTGGATAGATATTTAGGCATATTTTTCATTTAGCAGTTGTTGCGACAAATTTTAGTCAACACTCAGTTACAAGCGAAATACTTTTTGATATCTTAATAATGGATTGACCACGTTGTCAGTTAAATTTATTTAATTAGCTGAATCCCATACGAATTGTGATTGGTTCTCAGCTATGATCTATTGAAGGACAGACGTATGGATGACTTCCCCTCAACAAAATTTTTTTGCCTGCCAAAGGGTTTTCAGTAATCGCATGCATTGATTCACGCAGATTTAAAACATGTTGTCAATGATGAACTTACGGGCGTAAGCTTTTAGGCTAGCTTTATAAGCACCACGGACTGGCGTTTTATGCTTGGAATTAAGAAAAAAAATGCTGGAAAACAGTTGCAATTAAATACCTGGTCCATTTTGCTGTAGCGGTCCAGATTCCGTGTTTACGCTGAGTGAGTTTCGTTCAAGCTTCAAGATATGTGTTAACGGTCGTAAATTTGTTGAGTGATATTTTCAATATCTCAATTTCTCAGAATTAATTTAGCTCAAATCATTGTTTATTAAAGATAACTAAGGTAATAAATATTGTGTAAAAATTCAAGATGGCGGACGGAGATGATGTCTTTCAGCTTAGCCCAGTTGGCACGTTCTTTTGCATTTGGACTTGACATATGTACTTTGCTGACATCGACATCTCCAATACCGATAACGACATTTTCGAGTACTGTCCTCGCAAATCGCTGAAACAAGGAGCAAAACTCGGTTAAGATTGAAATGCATGAAGTTTTAATGACTGAATACGTGTATGTATGTGTATGTATAGTTAAACACTGTATGCAGAAAATAAATAAATAAAAAATGGGGCAATTTTAAATCAGAAAGGCTGTATGGGCAGCCGTCACCACCAAGAATACAAGGATGTCAAATAAATCAGCAAATACGAAGCTGGTTTAAGGATCAGCTGCAGGATAGCATAGCTAACAAAGGAATGGCATGGCCAAGTTATAGACGGTTTAGTTTTCCTTCATGAAACAGAACACCCTCAACATGAACAGTTTAGTCAAATGATAAACGGTCTAGTTGTTTATGTTGAGTTGGAAGATGAAATTGTGAAGAAGACTACCTCAATTGCGAATAGCTTAGCAATCATTTGCGATACAGTACACAAACGGTGTAGCGTTGCGTGAAATGGCCCAGCGTAATGTCGAATGGTACAGCGTACGTACATACAAATGATGTAGCGTTACGTCGAATAGCTTTGCAGAACATCAGACGCTCCAGCTGAACACTAAATTGCTTAGCATTACATGAAATATTTCGATGTTGTGGCGAATCGTCGAGCTTCATTGTGGCGTGACGTGAAGGTTATCTCGCCGAAACCACCGAAAATACAAACTGCAAAGGGAACAACGATCTGCTGGGGGGCATGACGTCATCGAATGTGAAGATTGGCGCGAAACCATCACATGGTGTAGTCGCGAGTCGTCACTTCGCTGTGCCGATTTTATTTACCGATTGCTATACCGAAACAGGACGTAAGCTTTGCTGCTTTGATGGCTGTCATAGCTCGGGATTTTCGACCTAAAAGTAATTTTTGGTTGGTGATTACGCTGAATTTTCATAGAGAGAAAACTTCGCTCTCTAATTAGAGATAACATGATCAATAAATTGATAGATTGATGTATCAAATGATTGACTGGTTCATTGATTGACTTATATATTTTAGCCAAAAGCACACTGGGGGGGAGTGACAATTTTCCCTTAAGATTTTGCGTACAATCCGTTTGGGAGGATTTTCTCATAAAGTAAATATTCTATCCAACATAGTTATTCAACAGAAAATGGGGTCCCGAATGCTCAGAGACGAATTGATTTTCACAAATCCGTCATCTCGTATGACGGAAATGCTTTATTGACGTAGTTTAGAAGTATTTAAAACTAAAAAAAATCCAAAAAAATTTCCTATTAAAACGGAAAGTAATGATGTTCCGAAGAGTCACTCGGGTACTTTGCTCTAAATATTAAATGCCAACTTCGATGTTTTGTTGCTTACACGTATGCTATGTCAAATAAACAGAAAGCAAAGATATTTTGTGTCTAAGTTAAATATCTATGATAAAATTGATAACTGATTATAATAAAACTAAAAGACGTTCAGTAAGGCTGAATGATATTTGGTAAAACGAAAGGATCTTCCGTTTTTCTAAGATGTGTGTTATCTACACCTCATTCGATGGCTTAATATATAATACGCAGGGATATTTTGCGAGTTGCGTAGTATTTTTACGAGCCCGAAGGGGCGATGAAAAATACGAGCAATGAGTAAAATGGTAACTTGTTTTCTTCTTAAACCATCGAATAAGGGATTTATTATCCCACTATTATTTCTGTTTTTAGCATTTGAATTTTACTCTGCGAAATACATCCTACGGCCCTATCTGTGCATCGTATCGATCGTATACACTCGATTGCAAAAACGTTGACACCTAATAAGCTTGATTCACGAACGACAAGACCCATCACCTTTATGGGAAATGTTCGCACAGATACACAATCAGTGATTTACTTCTCTCATTATTCATGGAAAATCTTTTCTCATGATAAAACTTTTTCTTCCGGGAAAGTTTGGATAGCTCTTTGCTGAGTCTCATCTTTCATTATAAACGCTTGTTGCGTGTCAACGTTTTTGCAATCGAGTGTAATAAGGAGTACGCTAAAGACGAAAACAACACCAACGAAACGATCAAGGTGTTTATTGTGACCAACAATCTGTCGTGTTAAAAGTTCCTTTCTCTAAATTCAAGCCTGGAAACGAAAAAAATCAAAGCTTGGATCCTTCAATTCCGTTACTTTATTGCTGTTCATTTCTGCCCTGTTCTACAGTCTATTACAGTGGCGTGTTTTGTGAGTTCTTAAGACCTTATTTGGTAAAATTACATGGTTGTAGAATAATAAATCAGGGTATCTACTATGCAAAATGTGCATGCTTGTTTTATATATCAAAGAAAAGGATGCGAAAGATGTTTAACCGATAATCAACATTCTTGCTTTTTGACTTATTTCACATAGTATAAGTGTATGCAATATATCATCGAAATACGCGCATTGGATCTTTTGTCCACAAAGGGCCTTCGCAACAAGACACCAAAGGAATTTGAAAAAATTCCATGTCTCAGTAAACTTTTACATGAAATACTGTATACTCAGAGTGTTTCATTAATACTACAACGGGAATTCTTTAACGAAACTGAATTAAAACTGATCATATAATAAGTTTAAGGTGGTTTATATTAACCGCTTTCGGTTTTTAACTGAATAGACATGCAGTGTTAAAAATAGAGAAAACATAAAGGTAGTCAGTGTGGCAGAAGCTTCGTGACCCCATCATGATTTAATGTTTTGGCATTATCAGGGTTAGTGAGCGGAAAAGAATTCAGTTCGACAGCAAGGCTGCGAAGGATCAAGACTACAGATCGACAGTATCGTTCAGCTTGGATTAAGTTTTGAATTGTGCGATCTAATCGAAGATATTCAAGGCTCTTCCTTTCCCAAAAGAGCTTCAAGTTACTGCAATACGACAGGTATGTGTAAATATTTGATCAAGCTGTACAATTATTTTCATTTCCGTAACGATAAAGGTGATTAAAAAGGCTTCCAAACAAACTTTGAAACATTATTTTTACAAGTATCTGTCACAATCTGACACCTGTCAATTAGAGAGCGCGCAAGAAAAAAAAAAGCGTAGGAACATTTGAAAACCAAAAGAACTTAGTTTGGCGAGGACTGTCACGACAATGTTTTCTTCAAACTGAAATCAGTTAATGATCTAACGGAAAGTATTATTCACTCTCATCGACCATTCATTCATGTACGAAGATTTACCTCTGTTCATTAAGTAAACGGCGAGGAAAGTAATTGTGAGTAAATTCCATTTTTTTTGTTTTGAAGTTGTGAGAGTTTGTTCGTTTGTTTGCTGTAATGGCGTGTTTAACTCTGATCTTTCCTTCACAAAAACTAAATTCGAACGGCACACTCCAACGAGACACAAGGGAATGTAATGCGACCTTTTCTCAAAAAATTCCTTCAATTTCTGTTGTGCAATTTAAGGTACAAATGTCCAAATTGAACGGAATTGGAAAGACTCACCAGGAGCGTATATTTGTTGTAGAAGTTAAATTAAAACTTCGCTCGCTCTTTCACTATGAACAAATTGCTCGAGAAAATTCAGATATTAAATGAATGAAAGTTCCATCGTTCAGTTTAACTGTAACCAAATACCTCACGTTTCAACTTTCTGGGTACTTTTTGTGAACGATTATCAAACGTAATGACACTATTGTTTATACAAATTCATTCTGAAACCAATATTTTTCTGTCAACCAAAGTGATTTGAGAGAGAGAAAAGAGAGGATTCATAAGTTATTTATCGGCTTGAGGTAGTGACCGAAGTGTTTGCTT